TATGAGGTAACAAATTGTCAAATGATGGCAGCCACTTGGCTTGGGTTGTGCAAACTGAGATTTATATTTAGTGAACCATGCTAAAGAGCAGGAATCAGGCAAGCACACTGTAAGTAGTGAAATCAATGGGCTCATTTTCTCTTTACTTTGCGCCACTAAATTCCTTTTTTTGTGTGTCTTTTTTTTTAATGTACATTACAGCATAACTGGAAATAGTTGCTTCAACAACCTCTCTCCTTTAGCCCTTTAACTCCCACAATCTGATTGTTAATTCTCCCATCTAGCTGCTACACATTTTCTTGTAAAGTAGCTGGGAGAATTTGGTGTTAGATCAAGATAACAACTTTTACCTAATAAGTTTGAGTATTCTCATTATCTGCTTGCTGGATAATGTATGGATATTATAGGGAGAAGTAACATGTTAATCACTTCTGGGAGTTAAAGGGTTAAGTCCAATATGGTTTTTAGGATTATTAAAAGATATACTTAATGAAATAGAAAAGCAGGTGAACCTCACCTCAGCCGCAAAAATGCTCCCACAGCAGCAGCAACAACAAGTACCCCAACGAAAACTCCAAGAGCAATACCTAGTGTTGAATGTGTGGGTGTGGGTGTGGGTGTGGTGCTGTCACTTGCTGACACAGTAGTACTGCTAACTGGACAATCTACAATAATAATAATTTCATGTAATCAAAGGTTATTATTAAATAAATATGAAGGCCTTCTAGTATCACCTACTGATTTTCAAAACTGGCATGAAATCTTGTTCAATCATATAATTAACAAAAATCAAATATTTGCTAAAAAGTTGTTCAAGTTCATATAGAACAATGAACCAGGCCTAACTATGATCACAAGGTTTCCCATGTACTTTTGAAAATTTGTTTATAACAAAAAACAGCCAAACAACATATTTGCCAAATTTGTTTTCAGTTGTTGGTGATCATGAAGCAGCCACAGTCAACAACAACAACCTCTTTATTTGTAACCTAAATTAATTAACATGACACAAAAAACATATATTACATGAAAA